AAAATTTTTTGCAGATGCCCACAATTTTCAGAATCAGGGCTAGACCACTACATCGGGAGCTACGTTCCCTACTCTTTGCGATAAGTGTGTGGGTTCTTTAAACTTCCCCTGCTAACCAAAACAGAGAAGATGCAGGAGACGGGGCCTATGGTTTTTCGTCCTTATCCAGTTATCATAACAAAGGCAGCACATTCTCCTCAGTTATTTTACTGGGTTACCGTGCACCTTCATGGGTGTCTCGCGTGCAAGCGATGTAGCGCGTTCGGTTTAAACTGTAGATATCTCAACTCCTATATCAAATTAAAGCTTATAGGACTGGCTATCAGGCTATACCAAAAATTTTGAAAAAAAATGAATTGTCGATTTTTTCACGACTTCTAAATGCGAGTACCCGAATCACCTTTTGAACGTTACATGTCAAAGCGAATTTAATTTTGTTTTTCGCTTATTAATGTGTTCCTCCGTTTCCAGGGCCAAAGCGCTGAAAAAACGTGTCTGCGATTTGCCATAATCAATTTCAGTGACAAGTTACAGAACATTTTTGAGATAGGATTAAAAAAATGTGGAGTGATCGTACAAAAATCGCTCTTGAAAAAAAAGTATTTCGAATTAAAAAATTCGGAGACACTTTCTTGTTGTTCATACGTAAAACTAGCTACTGTCAAAATTTGAGAGCAATCGAACAAATTCCCTTTGACTTGTAGCTCTTAAAAGGCGATTCGGGCGCTCGCATTTAGAAGTCGTGAAAAATTCGACAATTAATTTTTTTTTCAAAATTTTTGGTATAGTCTGATAGTCCGTCCTATAAGCTTTCATTTGATATAGGGGTTTAAATATCTACAGTTTAAACCGGACGCGCTACATCGCTTGCACGCGAGACACCCCAGAAAGTGCACGGTGACCTTAAGACCCGGGGTGTTGGTCCGGGACTCGAACCCTCGACCTTCCGTACGCCAATCCGGCGCTCTACTACTTGAGATAACTAGGCGGCAGTTTTTAATAATAATTATATAGTAATAATAATATTAATAATAGAGCATTTTTCGATGTGTCGTAAAACCAAACCAGAAGTTATCAAAAGGGCCAACCAGAAGAGAAGAAGTTTAAGAGCCTACGAGAACTCAAAGTAAAAACAAGCACATTGCCTAAAGCGCGGTAAAAAACGCGGGCGACCAAGTCGCGATTAGTTTTGTATCAATTGGTTGAGAGAGTGGCGTGTGTTTTTTGGACCAATCACAGAGCGAAGTAATGCAATTTCGAGTTACTTTCGACATGCACACAATTGAAAATTTCTCTGATAATAATAACAATAAGAATGGGAATACAGCAGTCGGACGACGTGGTTCCTTTTGACCACTGTTTCCAGGTTGAATTTGGATTTGGAATCTTGCTTTTTGTTTTTATTGGTTGATTTGCTTTTAGTTGTGACCAATTGGTTATTTTTCCTCACAATGTTTTCTTTCCAAGGGTAAAGATAACTATCTATTACAAACTGGGATAAACTTTGATCTGAGACCAGATTTTCAAGAAGTGTCATTAATGACTGTCCAAAGAACTTATTTTGGGATCCAGGGACTTAATGAGTTGAGCAATTCTAGGATGAAAAAAAAAACAAACAAACAAACAAACCCCATATAAACCATGTAAATGAAAAAAACACTCCAACTAACTTCTACTTTCAACACACTACCCCGAAAACTTCAAAACTAGTTTCGTCTACGACCTCGTCAGTTGACATGGTTTATATGGCGTTAAGTAATACTTTCTTGGCCTCGATCAGTATAATTTCACAAAAACAAACCCAAAGTAAACCAAAACAGTTTCAAGTAACAAAAATTGCGGTGGTAATCAGAAAATCAAGACCACAATGTTCGATTAAAATATATTAATTGGCAATCATGTGCAAGATACGACTCAAAAGTTTCAGAAAATTAGAAATTAGGCCGAGGTTTGTAAATCTTATGGAAATCATCTCAAACCTGCTGGCTGTAAAATAAATTTGAACTTATTTCTTCAACGCTGGCTGCGTTAAATGCAATATTTGGATTTCACGTTTCACTCAGAGTTAGTGTTTATCTGGAATACATTGAGTGACAAACAACCGCGGCAGGTCTGTGCACCTGGTTCGAAAAACATGTCGATATGATCCATTTTTTTGAAGTGACCATCATGCAAATTAAAACCAGTTAAAATTTGTGCAAGGTGTTGCGCGGACAAAACTCTGTGGCTGAAACAAAGCTCTTCACAAAATTTCCCATGTCACCCGGTTCGAATTGTCGCTGCAATTTAACCCCGCGAAGTGTAATTATCCAACAGCTAAGAAGGATGACTGAGATGCAGATGTCCAAGAAATGTGGCGATACGTTGTTAAAAAATATAGGATTGATTATGTTATTATTATTATCTATTGCAACGAAGCATTTGTGTTACTCGAGCACTTTCTTTTATCGATAACAGGTTTAAAAGAAATTTTGAAGTCAAGAACTATTCAGATGGTTTTCTGTTAGTCACTTTGTGCACTTTTCATGTAGAATGGCGATGAAAAGTTCACTGTGTATGATGGGAAAAGACACAAGTCGTCCTATCACTCCTTGCGCAACTCTTTTGACCAGCACCAGGCCTCCCCAGTGCGATGGTAAGGAAAAAGGAATGCGACCAAAGGTTCAAACGGTTCGACAAACAAATGTTTTCCAACACTTTCCGGAGCATTCCGATCTCTGTTAAGTTTGGTTTTCGACGGTTAACAGTATCACCACAGAAATTTGCGGAGTTAGTAATCTTTTGTTCCAAATGATTTTTTGTTTTGTTGCCTAAAATTCAAGATTGCTTGAAAAAGGAAAAATATCGGATTAAATAACCTCTTTCCCGTCGATGATTTGAACCGATATAATTGAAGAGTAAACATTTATATTCAGTAAAAGTTCAGTAAAATTTGCTAAAACTATAAACTACAATGTCTAGTTTGACTTGAATTTAATCAGTCAGTTCTCGTTGCCGTTCTCTAATGCAACCGATCATACTAAAAGCTTCCACACCAAATTAACAAGAAATGTAAATGCAATACGCTGTTCTCTTGATCATAACCTCAACCGCCGACCTCCGAAAAACAAATCTATTCTTGGCCCATTATCCAACGCGCAACCGCAAAGTACCATTTTTGCACGGACGTCTAACGAAGAGATCTCTCTTCTAGCAAACACCGCCCAAGAAATAGCAAATCCCCGAGAATAAACATGGCTGTAAAATTACGCAGGCCATTTCCTCGCATTTCCAACAGCACCCGTTGTGTAAGTTACGTTCAGTGGACAATTACATCACAGATTTGGCCTATAAATAAAATATTACCAGCAGTTTCGCTACACACCTCTGAGGTCACAGAATTTAATAAGAGTCTGAAGTCTTTTCTACGAAAAATTCAAGTTTCTTGAAGATTTTTTCTTGTGAAGTAGTCGCAGTTTTTTCTGTCGACATAAAAGAAAAAGGTGAGTAAAATCTGTTCTATTCAGCAGAATTTATGTGGGTTTGTATCCGTGCGGAATGGATAACAAGTACCTCATGATCGCAAAGGATTTTGCCGGCAGTTTAAAAATATTGTCCTTAAGTGTAATTTGAATTGAATTCCCTCAGATTATCCATATTTTGTGAAAAGATGGTGAAAATATTTTTTTTAATTCAACTTTTAACCCGGACTGCTTAGCGGTAAAGATTTCGAGGGTTTTCCTATGCTGGTGGCAGAATTGTTTACCAAATTGGCAGATCAAAACAAGGAAGGACAGGACAGAGGCAAAATCAAGGCTGGCGGATGTAGTGAAAACATAAACCTAAACCAAGTTAATCAAATGAAAGATTTTTTAGTATCAGTAATTTTTGTCATCATCTGAATACTTCACGAAAACGACAGGCTGTCTCAGCGAATGTCTTCATTCATCAGAAAAGCAATGTCAACTTCTATCTCTTAGGTGGTCAATGAGCGTTCGAACTGTCTCTCTCCATACTCTAAGCCAGGAATATTTAAGTTAGTTTTGATATTTTGATAGCAAAACTTTTACCAAGAATAGTACGAAGGCCTCCATGATCTAGCCGTACATTAACTTGAAGAAGGGATGTATACTTGGCAAAAAACAGCGCACCATTTTACCAAATTTAAATTGCCATCATCCAACTCTATGGAATTGTGAAGGAGAAAAAAATGTTCAAACTCTCACGAAAGTGGCAAGGTTACAACGTTTAAGTAAATGGTTAAGCTGCGCTCTGTATTTTTTAAGAGCAAAGATCACTGATTGCCAAAGTTGTAGCAAAATCGTTAACGAGCGAGGTTGTTGGGACGTGTCATTTATATCAATAAACAGATGTATTCGTTTTGTAAATTTCGTGCCCGAATAACTTAAAGCAGAATCCATCTCGTCTCCGGCTTATTTCAAAAAGACTTTTTGTTCTAGTAGATGGATTTCTGGCTCTTTCCCGATTACACATGGCCTTACAGCAAGACTGTCTGAAAATGGTTGCCATGCTGAAAACTCTTATACGATACTTTCACATATATAAACCAAGATCAGCATTCGTAACGAAAATTTTGAGTTTTCGTTTTTTTTTCTATATCCAGGGATGCGTTTGGGTTTCCCGTTCCTTCTGTGCGCTATTTTCGCCTCTTTGCATTACAGCACAGAGGCTGAGCGATTCTCCAACTCCAGATACCTTCTGGGTAAAGCTCTTCTTAGAAGGGCTCGGGAGATCAATGAAACTAGAAACAATAGTGACGAGTTAGAGGACGAGATGTCGGAGGAAGAAAGAGAAAGAATTCTGCAAACAGAAGCTTCGGAAGACATATTCGTTGGCTCCGGAAATCACGTGTATGAGAGTCAGGGGAAATCGGAGACTTCTGGTTCTAAGCGAGATGAAACTTCCGGAGATGAAGGCAAACGGGGCGAGGAATCGGGAAGTGATGATGATGCTCCCAATTCCGGTGACAGCGGCGAGGGTGATAGGAGTGACGATGATGAAAGTGACGACGACGATGACGAGGAGAAAAGCGAAGATGACGATGACGACGATGGTACAGAGACAAAAAAAGAACAAGAAAGTTCAAGTGATGAGGCTACCAGTGGTTCAGGGCTGATCGAAAATGAGAACGCTGCAAGGCGTAGCGAGGTCGTTTCCGGTTCCGGTTCCGGAAGTGCGCAACAAGATGATAACTCTGACCAATCAGGGTCGGCTGGTAGCAGTGTTGAGGCGTTGACACCCACATCAGCATCAGGAGATGAGGCCAGCGGAGTTGCAGTGCAGAGCAGTGCGAGCAACGAGGAGGAAACTGCCTCCAGAAAATCAGAAATTGCTACAGTTTTTGGGGAAAGCGAGGACGAAGAAGATGATAGCGGAAGTGCTGAGGTCATCAAAAAGGGGATCGAGAGCTTGAGCCGACTTTTAACGCCAGTAGCCAGCGGTTATGACTTTGAGTTGTACAGCGGCAGTGCAACAAAGCAAGACAAAGAAGAGGATAGCCAATCTGAAGGGGAAAGCGAAAAAGGAGTTAGTTCTGATGCAGAAGAAGTCCATGTCAAACAGTGTAAAAGAGTTTGTGAAGACCCCATGACATACGAGCAGTGTGCAGTTCCTCGATGCGACTACAAGATGGGAACCATCAAGGATTTGTGTATCTACTTATGCAAGCATCAGACTCCTGTGTGTAGACAAGAATGTGAGTAAGGTATCCCTAAACAAACTCATTTTGCAATGTGAATTATTCATTACGTTTTGTCTCGGTTTCATAACGAGGCTCTAAATATAAAAGCTTGTGGAATTTGGCCTTTCTAGGCTTTAGGCCCAATGGTAATTTATTAGTAAAATTCTTCATTGAGGGCCTAAGGCCTAAGATGGTATAAATCTAATGTAATGATAGTATCATATCGCTGGTGTATAGCCTGTTAATCCAGCATTTACGAAATTTATCTTATGACTGAATTAGTACCCACAGGCGTATAAAATAGACTTGTATGTAGGACCGTTTGGACAAAAGACAACAGGTACTAGTAAACAGAACCAGAAAAAGTATTAGTTCTTGAGGCTATGCGCTTAAAATTAAAGAAAAAAAATTAATCTCATCGGTATCAACCGTACCGGGCTTTGGGTCATACATGAAACCCACGATTGTTCAATTTTAAAGGTATTACATCCGACAACCACCCGTTGATTTTATACAGGTGGTCTAAAATATATTTAACCGTCGCCTATGGTGGCTGTCTGTGGTAATTGAACGATGTGGGTACAAAACTTTAAAGTGATTTGTCATTATTCGTATGCGAAATATGAAATAGCAACATAAATGAAAAACATTAAGGTTTTCACACTTAGATTTCTCGCGAATAAAGAGCTAAGGAGTTGTCGTTATAATGACTTGAGGACCCTGTGCCGATTTGGCGGGAATACAAACATGGCGGGAAAAAGGAAATGCCGACAAACGAACAAATTCTCGTCCCCATATCCCTCGTTCCTTTGATAGAATGAGTCGATCTGGGGACAAGAATGACTAAATAACGGCTAAGGTCTAGGTCCCTTCGATAAATAGCTAGACTTAATTTAAAACATAATCTTTGTTAAAGTTAATTACAAAAGAGTTTTTAGAAATGTTCTTGGAAATAACATAGTATAGTTTTAGATGCAAGCTATCATTGTGGCATTTAGGGTTCTTTAGTTCCTTTTCCAGCAAGAGAAAATAATGGTTTTCATTTGAAAAACATATTTGTATAAAATTCCCTCCCCCCCTCTCCCATCGTACATGTGTTTCGGATACAAACCAAAGGAAGTGAGTCAAGTTCATCAAATCGAAGCTTGCTGAAAGTTTTCTGCTAAAAAAAATTGTGGCTCGACTTGCATCGTTTGGCTTGTTGCAGTTTCGGAAAAGCTACCTAGTTATGCGATATGGGAAGCCAAGAAGGGCGCGAGCTTGTTGCTTTACAGTTTTTCTCGTGTGAAGTTTACCTATCAGCCTCAACCTTGAAAACTCAACCAAGTCATTTTATCCCACGTCCATAGATGAGTAATGGAAAATTGGAACATTAGTAGTAAGACCAAGGTTATCAATAGCTTTCAGGGCTGTAACTAGAGTAAGAAACTGTAATAGATCTCCATGTTCAATAAAATATATCATTCAAATATTATACGGTGTGCGTGTTATGGAATGGCTCCTGATTTTTGAGACAAGCAGCCAAGAGATGGAAGAAAGAGAGGTGGGACTTTGTTTTGTCACAAGAAAGCGCTAGGTTGCCTAGCAAGTTTCAAACTGTTAGAGTCCGCAGTCGAAAAACAGTTTTTGCATTAGGTTAGGCCACACTTCGGAATCTTAAAACTTCCGTGGTCACTGTCATATGGTTTCTGCGGCATACCTCTCATTAGCCGATCTCGTTCCCAGGGTCTCTCGTCTTCCCGCCCCCCTCTCGCTCCAGTAGGAAGGGCAGATGAGAGACCCTGGGAACGAGGGTACTCATTCCCCTCTCGACCAGAAATCATAAGGTAGCTATATTAGAGGCAATCCACGGCTCATTTAAATATTTGTCCCAATAAGTTCAATATTCACGCTACAGAAATAGTTTCCCTCACAAAAAATGTGCTTAAGGTGTAAATTTATCTGATGTGAGAAAAAAAATACAATTAAAAAAAAACAACAACAACAAATTGAAATGCCACATTTTTGTGTTAAATTTATTAAATCGACATTTAATAAATTTACATTCTCCAAGTAGTTTACAGCTTAACATAGACAAGGTTTGTTCAGGATCTAGTTGTTCAATACAAGAACCTCTTAAAGTAGCGCAAAGAAAAAAAAGATCGGTTTTCATACATTACGAAAAACTTAGAATAAATTCTGCAATGAGTTAGTCTCAATTTTTTTAATCGAAAAATGTCCTTTATCTTAATTTTTCAGAAATTTCTGTCACACATGGACAAATTCTTTAGAAAATTTAGTACCGTTTGAAACTACTTTCTCATCATTTACTAGTCCTCGATTGAATAGCAAGGGATTATCATCCAAATACATTTCGCTGTTTCCTCTTGACATCATAGATTTTGAAACTGGGACAAAAGGTTTCACAGCCAATTCCTTCGGAATTGCGTTCACTGTGAAAGTTTGCCAGCACGAGCCTGTTGTCTCAGCGGGCTCCTTCATTATGGCATGCACGCTTCCTTGGGCCGAAATGGAATTAGTCACTGTAGAAGCCACAAACTTTGTATCGATATCGCGTTTGGTATGTTCTTGATCTCGAGTTAATGTAGCAGTTTCCCTACATTTAGTTATCGGTGTTTGGATGATAGTATCCGTCGTTGAAACTGGGATAGCTATAGCCATTGATTTTTTCACTGTAGGAGAAAGAGGAATATCTTGACCTAGATGGAGGGAACAAAACTCATCAATAATCGATGTTTTATTTACAGAATTGTGCAAAAGTGATGCAAACGAAATGCGCGAATTTCGCTTTTTTCTTTTCGAGAAGTTCTCTTGGAAGTTCGTGCGAAAATTCGCGCGGAGATTCGTGGGCTTATAAATGACATTTCCTAGAGCAAATTCTTCCAGTTCTCGTTACAAAATGACAAAACGAAAGTTTGCCCTTGCTCGAAAGTTCACTTAAGAATGACAACAGGATTCTTCGCGCGATATTATGATCACTTTCAGAGTCCAAACTGGACTGAACTACAAAATTGATAGAAGGGCAACTACTTACTTTTAACAGCTTCAGGTGGCAAAGTTTCTCGAAAAGATACGATCCCAGCATTGCTGGCCTCGCTTTGCATTGGTACAAAAGAAGAAACAGGTTTCAGATTTTCTTCGCGATGTCCCAGATTCTGAGCCCACGACAAAGTGGGGCTTGGAGGGCTTTGCGGAAATTGTCCCGGCAATCCGTGGCCTTGAGCATTCGATAGACCCACCACTGGTCCCTGCTGCATTTGAGCCAACTGATAAGCGTTGTAAAAGGGTGCGTACAGAGTGAAGGGCATGTGAAGTGAAGTTTGCAAAGGGACAAATGGCATTGGTGTATACAGCGTAGAGTTCCAAGAACTACTGACTGAAGTGGAAGCAGTTGGTTGATTGAGCTCCGGTTTTGTTGAGGATGGAATATGGTTATTTGCCTGACGCTTGTTGTCTGGTTTCTTGGAGGAGTACTGCTGTCTTTTGACATGAACTAACAGGTCTAAGAAGTAAGGAAGATAAGGTAAAAAAAAAAAAAGAGCTATACAATTTTCTATGAAGGGAAGATCCAATTTAAAAAAAGATGAGTTTTTTTTAAATTCTCCCTTAAACCCTTTTAGCGACAACTGATCCCCCCCGCCGCCGTTCCCCCTGAAAACATGGCCAAACGATCGCCCCAAAAATCCTCCACTCCTCCTCCCCCCCCCTCCGGCGATAAACAACGATTGGTCCCTTACAAAACATTTTTCTACAGAAGAGAGATGATGTCTAAGAGAAGAAAAGTAGAACTTACCTTGTCTTCCCTTCCGAAAATAGGGATGTTTAAATTCGCATTTAGAATGCACCGAAAACGGAGGCGATATCGTCCGTTTCCCATATTCCGTGACTTTTCGAAACCCATACAAGTTCAACTGACGGACAAAACTCGCAAAATGTTTTGTCTTGAAAAGTCCGTTAGATGGATTGTTTAGAACCTCAGAAATAAACCTCTGAGTGTTCGGAATAACAATGCATGTTCCAAGGACATTCCAATGAATTTCGTCGCGTTTAGGATTATTTACGATCCACCATAACTTCTCTGGAAAGGCCAACAGGGCATAATCCGATTGCCTGTCTGGTATTAAGTACGAAGAAACTCGTGCCATTGAGAAATTTTTGTGAAGTGAAACTTAGCTGCGGGTTTTCTAAACTGTTGTTTTCGTGTTTCCATGGAATTCTCAGGATTCTAACATGACGCGTGAATGGCTCCGCGGAGCAACTTCTGATTGGATAAAACCGTGCGCGTGCGTTGTGATCAATGTTGATGTGTTCGAAAAACCTGTCTTTTGAAATGAATGAACGAGATCAAACATTGAATTAATCACTTTTTCAATTTGATTCTGGACACCTCATCTAGTTACCTTTGGATAACTTTCAATATTCGTAGAATGGCCTATTATATTATTCGTATTTGCGAGATTTTTTATTTAGATTTAACAAGTTATGCTTCGAGCATATGTGTGTTTACTTATAGATCATAGTAGATGTCAACAAGTACAGGTGTCAACTTGAACACCGATGGAACTCTGGAGCAGTGCACTTAAGTCTCACGTATTGAGCGTGAGACGGCACGCAAACAATTTCAATCTCACGCTCTCACGCCGAAACTATTATTTCTCACGTATTTGAGATTACTTGCTCCTTTAGTGAAGCTCCTTCATAATAAACTATATTTTATGATATAATTTGGAACATTGTGTTGTGTTCTTAGGCAAGACACTTTACTCTCACAGTGCCTCTCTTCACCCAGGTGTATAAATGGGTACCGGCAATTTAATGCTGGGTGTAACCCTGCGATGGACTAGCATTCCATCCAGGGGGGAGTAGAAATACTCCTAGTCGCTTCATGCTACAGAAATCGGAGTTAAGCACCGGCCTAATGGGCCACTCGGCTCGTCTCGTAAACAGACTTTACTTTGGTTTGTACTCGCTTCGAACACTTTATTCTTGTACATGCAGAGCCAGCGTTTCTCTGGCCAGTGGGTTTAATGACTATTGCACATATTCACTTGCTGACCCGGTAACGTGGACCGTATAAAATGGCGGATTCCAGTTCAGAGTCGGACTTTGACTCTCCTGTCGTGAGGAAGGCCAAGTATGCGGGAGCAGCAAAATAAAAAAGCAAGTTCAAAAAAGACTGGATAGTGAAGTACCCTTTTTGTTTCTTCTGTTACTTCAGACAAATCTTTATTCCACTGTAATGTTTGCAATCGTACTTTGCCAAGTGCCGATCAAAGGAGAAGCAGATCTTAAGCGCCATATTGCTAGCGATGGGCACACTGCACTCGCCAAGGAACAGGCAAAAAACCGGCGATCACAAGCTTTCTGAGACATTAAAACTCCAACATCCAAGAGAAAGTAAGGACCTAGTCTTACCAATGAAATAACACATTGTATTAATGCTATTTGTTCGACTTTGTGTTTGGCAAATTGCAAGGCTTCAAATGTTCTTGCTTAATGCTGAGGTGCAGTTAAGTTATTTATACAAGATTTTAGGCTGGAATAAGCTTCACATACGTACTTTGACATCTCTTTTCAAGTTTAATTTTGTCAACAGATATTTACAACATTAGTAAAATATGAAATAATTTGGCCTTTGGTTTTAAACTTTAAGCAAGGATCTTATTGTTATTTCAGGTTACCAGAGCTGAGGTAAAAAATAGCAGTTCTGATGGCTGAGAATAATATTCCCCTGGCATTTTCTAACGACCTAAGTCAAATACTCCCAAAACTATTTCCAGACTCAAAGATAGTACAAAAGTATTCCGCTGCAGCTACAAAGACCACATGTATGATTAATGGAGCAATAACACCACATTTCTTAAGGGAGACGGTGAATATCATGAAGTGTAGTCCATTCTCCTTATTAACTGACGGCTCAAACGATACTAGCTTGGAAAAAATGAATCCTTTGACTGTGAAGATGATCACACTGACAGCATGTAGAGCAAACGTTATAACATGTTAATTTGACTTCTACATACATGTACTGTAAGTCAGAATGTTAAGAAAGAGTTGATATTGGTCCAATAAAAAGAAAATTCTGGGATCTAAATACCTTCTTTTAAAGCATGACATTTCTGCTCAGAATGAAGGAAAACACGTCTTAGCTTCTTCTATTTTTCAAAATTTCCTGGGGGAGCATGCACCCAGACCCCCCTAGTGGGGTGACGCCTTTGGGCGTCACAAACAACGGCTGAGCCGTCGCAGATCTCACTCTTTGCCAACAAATCAACTTGAGAGCTCTGCTGGAGGGTCCTAGTGGGTTGATGGATTTTACAGCTAACGGTGAAAACAGTTTTTGTCATTTTACGGCTGACAGTTAACTTCTTTTGTTGAAGTTATAGATAAAACAATTACGGTTAGCTTTTTTCACAAATAACGGTTGAAAGTTTTTACAAATAACAGTTGAAATTCTTCAATTTTTACGCCTAACACCTAATTTTTTTGCTGTTTGACGTCTAAGGGCTAACCCCATTGAGATCCCCACTATGCTTACAGCTTTTGTGTCACTGCCTTGTATTTGCCAAATTTTGAAAGCTAATAGCCATAACTTGAACATTGACCTGGCAAAATAGAATATTCCTGCCAATTTGACAACACCAAGTCAAACTGCAAGGTAATTCTCGTAGCCGATTACCATTTTTTACAAAATTAACATCTACTTGAATGTGGCCGATGTAGTTTGTTTTTTGCCCTACCTCAATGAGATCTGGATATATCTAGTACTTAGAACTAAGAAATGTTCGGAAGCCGCTCGTATAATGGCAGCTTATGTTCGGATCTCCTGACGGAATGTTCAGCAACAGGACTGACTCTTATTTCGATACCTCACTACCCCTGAATAAAGCGAAAAATGTGATTTTAGCTTTCAATTCTTTTGTAAATTCTAATTGAAAGCAAGAGGCGTTTCTTTGAGAGAATATGTTTTCTTCCCTTCACAACAACTTTTCATGCAACTATTTCGAAAACCGTGAAGCCCTGAGCACGAATGGAATAAATACCTTCGTTTTCCCGCCAATTTCACTATTGAGCTGTGCAAGGCTTTGTGGGTAGTATCACCGTCTGTGCGCTGCTTGCCGGGAAATCAATGTATCCGCCATCATGCCACCGAAGAAAAAAGGGGCGAACGAACCAACGAAAAAAACCGAACAGAAAAAGAAAGAAAAGATAATTGAGGTATTCGGAAATCTAATCATCTTCTTGGATAATACAGCTAGCCATCTGTCAACTTATAATTGGGATTCTCACCTTTTTTAGGATAAAACTTTTGGCTTGAAAAACAAGAAAGGCAAGAAGCAACAGACCTTCGTAAAACATGTGACTCAACAGGTTTGCGAATTTCTTTCTGAAGTTTAATGTTTCCCGTTTATTTTTTTGTATTATTATCTTAAGGTAACGCTCAATCTTTTTTTGATAAGGTGAAATACGGTGGAAATCCTAGTGCAAGGAAGGTACGTGTGAAACACTCAAAGAGAAGGCTTTTACATATATTTTTGAAATATAACACGTCTCATGTACTGTACTAAAATTTAATTTGTGTGCTCAACTGTGTCTTCACCTTAGGAAAGCTATGAATGCTTCTACAAGTAATATTACCTAGCTATGATAATATTAGTTGACATATAGGTGGAATCGACATAATAGTCGAAATATTGTTATTGTAAGTATCGAATAGGTTACTGTGTTTCATACCACACTGATCTGAAAGTATGGTCAAACGTCCTAAAGAAAAAGAAAATTTTTAAAATAAAGTTTTTTTCCAGAAAATTGTTGCTGCTTGAAACGTTTTGAGAATTTGAGAGAAAGTTTGTACACTGTTATAAAATAGCAAAATGGAGTTGTAATCTTGTAACTTCCTTGATGCTCCGGTTATAAACCCTTTCTTTCACAAGATCTCAGTAGTAATTGTCCCTACACATTTCTTCTGATGTTAGTTAAGAGAATTTGGTATTGAATCAACAAATCCCCATTGGAAAATTTTCTTATTCTGATCACTTGTTTGCTTGATATTGTACTGATATTGTGTAGAGAAATTCTGCCTCGGTCACTCATGGGAGTTTAAGGTTTTGGCATAATTAAGCTTTAATGTTGCACAGACATTTTTGTGATAAACTGCCCAAACACACTTTCATATATTGGTACACTGTCTCAAAAAAAAAAAAAAGCTTTTACTCAACTCAATAACAAGTGTGGAAACACATTAGTTATTCTACGTAACCACTATTAATTTTTTGTCACACTTAATTTTGAACCCTTCAACTCCTAATATATGTTTGTTAATTCTCCCCTTCCGCTGTTAAATATTTCCTTTTAAATTATCTATAAGAATTTGGCGTTAGATCAAGATAAAAACGTCTACCTGCTAAGTTTGAGTATTCTCATTACCCGTTTGCTGGATAATGTAGGGATATTATAAGGAGAATTTACATGTTAATCACTTTTGGGAGTTAAAGGGCTAATTTGGCTGGACAATAATATTTGTATTCATGTACAGGAAGCTAAAAGCTGAAAACACCTCAGGTTGCTAATTTGGCTGGACAATAATATTTGTATTCATGTACAGGAAGCTAAAAGCTTCCTGTACATGAATACAAAACACCTCATGTTGAAGACATTTTGTTGAAAACATTTTGTTGAAAACACCTTTTGTTGAAGACACCTTTTGTTGAAGACATTTTGTTGAAAACACCTTTCGTTGTTGAAGACATTTTGTTGAAAACACCCATTTTGTTGAAAACACCTTTTGTTGAAGACATTTTGTTGAAAACACCATGTTGCAGACATTTTGTTTATGTTATTTTATATGTTTGTCTTTAGTTGGTAATTTTTTTCTTGCTATATTTTTTTAAATGTGAAGCTTGCTCAGGAGCAGGACAGTAAGGTAAGTTTTTCTTTGAAAAATTGTGTTAAATACAGAATGTAGCACATAAATGTAGCACATAAATGTAGCACTTAACACATTTGCGCCTTTTTTAGTGAAGCAGTAAGCCTCAATATAGCATGCTATTGGCATAGAGGGAGTCATGGTAACACTTGTGAGTGTTTCATATATAAAGTATAGCATACAAATATATCAGACAATTTATGGGCAACAAGTACTGCCTTTACAAGAAAATCGTTGTTTCTCTTAATAACAATCACCTGGCGACATCCATGACCAGAAAAGGTGTCCTTACAATGAAATTCCTGGATTCAAAGGATAAACAAACTTTTTTTTAACAAAGGACTACTGTTAGGGATCTCATATGTAGAGGTTTCTCAAAAGAGAGGCTCTTCTGTCAGTGGTATCCTGCAACTATGGAAACAACTTTTTAAAAATGATTGTTGTTATTTCAGAAAAAGCTAACAGAACAGAAAAAGAAGGAACAAGAAGATTTAAATCAGCTATTCAAGCCTGTTATTGGGCAAAAGGTGTCTGCAGGTGGGTTTACCAAGATGAAGGCATTAGAAACACAGTAATGTTACAAAAAAAGTCACAGAAGATAGCGATCATTCTTTTTCAATTGGCTGCTAATCTATCAAATTGTGTGTACAGTGGAAGGCACAGGAGCCTAATGATTTGTGCTCTGGACTTCGAGTGGAGAGGTCTGGGTGCAATACCTGGCTAGGTCAATGCGTTATGCTTTTGGGACTTTATTTAGTGTAATTTTTCAGCCCTAAGGCACAAAGGAAATGTGACTTCTCACGCGAAAACATTCCTAACGGTAGCTGTTTGAACAGTGAATGGAACGGCAAGTGAACGGGTGACGAACGGCTAGGAAAGCCGTTTGAAACGGATACTGTGAACGGATGAACGGCTAATTAAAATTTTCGAACGGATTAGGTCGAACAGATGAACGGGTAATTAAAATTTTCGAACGGATTAGGTCGAATGGATGAACGACTACTGAAAATTATCGAACGGATGAACAGCTAATTTTTTGAACAGATGAGTCTCACAGATGAGATCGAATGGATAAACGGCTAAGCAGTCAAACAAGGGATCGCCTGTAGAAATTATTTGAACAGATGGTTTCGTCAAAATGAATGCCAACACAGGCATCCCAAGCTCTCGTCTTGAGCCAAAGCGAAGGATTATTTCATGAAAGCGTCACACATTGGGTGATGAGGTGTTAAGTTACGCGAGGTATTTGACACGATCTGTGAAAAGATCACTTGAAACAAGTCGAAACTAGCCTGCGTCGCAGACAGTCTAAACCACCGACTTTACCGGGGATTGTGACACGTCCGGCTGCAATGCAGGCTAGTCGAAACTTGATCGTTTGAATAACTTGACTTCACTTTCGGCGCATTCAATTGGAGTATGATTAATATATTTATTATTGAATTCAACCGATTAAGATAAGGTACAACCAAGGAACTTGCATGCGAAAAGCATACAATTCGGTAGTTCTCAACTTCAATTCAGGTTTAAATTTCCATAATCCCAGCTTCCCTGTCAATCCATCAAAAATGCATTGCCTTAGTAGCTGCTAACAACTTGTGTCAATTACCGCCATTTCACACTATCACAAAATGGAGGTAATTTGGATATATCAACAAAGTTGAAATGGTAAATTGGCCACCATAACGATTACAAAAGCTGACGGTGGCCAATTTACCATTTCAACTTTGTTGATATATCCAAATTATTTCGTTACCCCCACCGATGCAGCCCCTAACAGTTTCTTTAGAAACTATCAGCCTTTATACAAAATGGAGAATTCAACGAGAGTAGATATGGATTTTGATCAACCAAAAATGTCTCTACCATTGTTACCAAAGTGCCAAGTGAACGACTGATGAATTTTCTTGAACGGATAGCTCGAACCGTTGGAACGGATGATGAATATTCAAGAACGGATAGCTCGAGGCATTTGAAAGGATTATGAATATTCAAGAACGGATAGTTAGAGGTGTTCGAACAGGTGATGAAGTTTCTTGAACTGATAGCTCAAACGGTTTGAACGGATGATGAATATTCAAGAACGGATAGCTTGAGGCGTTCAAACAGCATGCGAATCCATTCGAATAGCTGATGAACGGCTAACCGTTCGGAACGTTTTCTCGTGAGAGGTCACAAATGATTGGTTTTTATTTTGCAAAGTGAAAGATAAATTTCTTCCAGATAGATGTTAAATCAGATAAGTTTTGGTCATTCTTCTGAAAGAGGACCTGCACTGAGATTATCAGAAACCAGGAGTGATCAAAATGGAAATTATCCCTACAATTTCAGTGCCTTCTCAAGCAGAAAGGTAATGAGAAGGCAGAAAAAAACATCCCGTAGGGCAGGGTTGGACACTAACAGTAACCAACTAGCCACAGACTAGTAGAAATTTAGTTTTGGCTTGTGGTTTTTGATTTCCACATTTCCACTAGCCAGTTTGGCTAGTAAACAAACTGAAATTGTTATAACATGTAAGATGTCACCAGCCACTTGGCTAGTGAGTTGAAAAGTTAGTGTGGAGTCCTGTAGGCGGAATTTTTTTTATACTTAACACTCAATTCTCAATCAAAGCCTCTTAGGATAGCAATCATTCACCTTATTTTCTTTATCTTGATGAATGATTCAGCTGTATTAATGTAAGGAGAAATGAGATGCTGTTCACAAAACCAAGAAACTTTGAATGCACAACGCAATGATGAGGAATGACTGCAAACCAATGACAGTTGCAAGTACAGTCGAACCTCAATTATCTGGACCTTGATTATCCAGACTATTCGACCATGTGGACTTTTTTCTCTGGTCCCAATTTTTTTCGTGAATATTAATTAGTTGTGATCTTGAAAACTCAGTCGCAAAAAGCCCAATAATCCTTTCAAATGACTGTTGAAACAGCGTATTATCCTGAGCGCTTTTCAAAATTTGCAAGTGCAATGAGACAAAGAAATGTTCTGGTGCGTTGTGAATACATACAGGCTGTGTAGATGTCACAATTAAAGTGATGTTTTCTTTGCTGTATACCTTTTGTTTACATTTCTATCTCATTAATATTCATATTTTCGATTATCTGGACTCTTGATTATCCGGACTATTTACCGAGGTCCCAACGAGTCTGGATAATCGAGGTTCGACTGTAATCTGACTTCTCGTGTTTTATGTTACAACAACAGGTGCTGATCCCAAGTCAGTAGTGTGTGCATTTTACAAACAAGGCCAATGCTCCAAAGGTGACAAGTGTAAATTCTCTCATGATATCACCTTGGACAGAAAGGGGGAGAAGAGGAGTCTATATGTCGATGCCAGGGATGTTGAGGAGGAGGAGCTCAAAAATGGTAAGGAATCTCAACAGTAGGCAGTTTCAAATGTGCCAGAGCTGACAACTTTTTTTGCCTGGAGCCATTTGTCCTTTAACCTACAAGATAATGAATAATACTTCAAAGGGTTAAACTTGATATCTGTTCTCAAATGATAATTTTTTTTCAAAGTGCAGATTGAGGTATGGATTAAGTTGAGCAGGAGAGAGAGCTCTAACATTCACTCTTATTAAAGGATAATCTAACCCAAGTTTGTGTCAATTGATCCTGTACTATGGCTAACTGGTTTTGAGCAATGGCCCCATGGTATTTATGCTCTTAGAGTCTGTTGTAGTTAGATAACTCTTATGTAAGGTTTTAACCCTTAGCTGGTATAATGGTTCCTTTTTTCAGATACAATGGACAAGTGGGACCAAAGCAAATTGGAGGAAGTTATTGAGAAAAAGCACGGTGAAAAGGAAAAGTCAATGCCCAAAACAGAAATTGTGAGTTCAAATATCTAATGATTAATAAATAGTAAATTTGTTTAAAATATACTTGGGGCAGGAGAAGGAGGATGGCTTATGTAGGTTTCAAAGCATGAGTTTCAAGTCCTGCTCCGACTGGACTGGTTGAATTTGTTTTTCTTGGTAGCTCTAAGTCTAGCTCCTCACGCACAGTTGTACTTGTAAATTAACTGCTAACAGTTGTGGGTCAAGCACTCCGGAGTTTAAAGTTATGTTTTGTCTTAAGGACTTCTCAGCTGGAATAGCTTAGTTTCTTTTTATGTTTAAGAGATTAATTACTTGCTACCAGAATCTGTCTGCCTTCATGATAATTTTTCAAACCTGTATAGACTGACTTACTCTGCAAACATTTCAGTTGAGGTGCTGTCTTTGAAAAAATGCATATCTAGTATGAATATTAACGTTACTAATTTCAGTGGGTCCTTTTTTTATATTTTATTACTTATATAAATTTTTTAAACAAAATTCTCTTTGACCTGTTGCTGTTGACCTCATGGTTATTATTATTATTATTATTATTATTATTATTATTATTATTATTATCATTATTATTATTATTAAAAATTAATTTGCTAGTAGTAGGAATTCTTGTGTTGAGTATTAAAATTTTCATTGATGTCTTGGATTTGTATAAGGTATTTTGATTTTAATTTTTTGTTCAGGTTTGTAAATATTTTCTGGAAGCTGTTGAGAAAGGACTCTATGGTTGGTTCTGGAGTTGTCCTAATGGACCCAAATGTATCTATAGACATGCACTGCCACCAGGTTTTGTGTTAAAAAAGAAACAGGAAAAGGAGATCAAAGAAGAGATATCATTTGAAGAATTTATAGAAACAGAGGTGAGCTGAATGACCTGATTTCAGTTTTATTTCTTTCATTTTCAGAGAACAGTCTCTGGAATGAAATTCTCAGAGAGGATAAGGTATATTTTTAGCAACAGGTATGCAGAGCATACAAAGTGGCAAAGTTTTGTATTAAAATAAATTTGATGCACATTTATTACTTGTGTCTATTCTATTAATTTCCTGCCCTGTTCCCAACCTCCTTTTGTCACATGTTTGGCATCAACAAGAGCTGTTCATTAACCCTTCTGCATTTACACCACATTGCTTTTTTACTGCGATACTCTATAACAGTAGTTACATGCAGTCATTTTAGTAATTGTTTTTGGTTTTGTTTTGGCCCAAAGAGAGCAAAACTTGGTGGAAACCTGACAAAGTTAACATTAGAAACATTTCTGGAATGGAAGAAAAGAAAGGTAAGTCTTCAATCTTGAATTTTGCCTCGAGTTGCAAATGCACATTTAGAAGGTACAGTGTGTGTATTAAGAGAGGAAAAAATCTTCCCTAAGAATGACATTTCATTCCCTTTTTTTTTTTTTCAGTTAAAAGAAAAGAAGGAAAAATTTGAAAAGGAACAAGCAAAGAAAAAGGATGACTTTAAGTCTGGTAGAATTGTTGGAAAGGTAAGAACTACAGATTATTTTTGGACATGCAGTTGACAATTGTTGTTGTTGTTGTTGTTGTTGTTGTTGTTGTTGTTGTTGTTGTTGTGAGTGTCCACCTTTTCACTCCCAAGATCTTGTTTGTAATTTTTCTCGCTTTCTACCATACAGTTCCTGTGATGTCAGTTGGGGGACTTTGGAATTGTATCGACTAATAATCTAACTGGATTTTTTTTTTCTATTTTTTTATTCTCGTAACTTGTTTGCTTCATTTTGTACTGTTATTGTAATGGGAAACTTTATCTTGGTCACTCCTAGGAGTTCAAGGGCTGAGGAGTGATCACCTATGTTTTTGCTCCGGTAGGTTAGTGGTCGTGAAGTTTTCTTGTTCAAACCTGAGCTGGTGGAGGCTGATGCCGATGATGGTGAGACTACAGAAGATATCAGCATTTATAGACGAGCAGAAGATGAGGAGGATGGGGTGAGTACCCTCTTGCGATAAGTCATTCACATTGACGGAAGTAACGTTTGCAAAAGAAACTGAAATTGAATTAAGAGGGGTAAATTTCTAAAGAACCTGTGGTGTTGTGTCTACGAGAGGTATTAATTAACTCAGTTGTTAATATGAAATAGCCATTTGACCTTTCGAGCGTTACCTCTTCGTGAGAGCTCTGACAAAGGGGCTAACGCTCAATACGTCAACTTTAGTAACTCTTTACGGTGGCCAACTTACATTATCAACTCGGTTGATAAAACCAAAGTATCTTGGAATACCCCCCTCCACCGACGCAGCACCACCGTTTCTTCAGAAACGTACCCCCCTCCCCCCCCGTAATACTTGACCCCGCGTTGTGCTCAAGTGGGCGTTTGGTATTGACGGCACTCGTTCCTTCATAAAATCTCCATTTCTGTTTTTAGGACGAAAATGGTGAGGGTACATCAGCCAGGGAAATAACGCTAGAAGAAATGAGCAGTGCTGCAAAGGAAGTCGATGGCACTGGTACAGTAGATGTGTCAAGTAGCGCTGCTGAGAGATTAAAGACTAATCAAGCCACCAGTGCAACTCTTAACGAAAATTCTGCACAACAGGTAACTGTAGTTCTTCTTTGCTCTCTCTTAGATCCAAAGGTAATAGCTCAATTTCGTAACACCGATGTAGCCGTAATATATCTGACGCTAATTCTCAAACGTTGTCCAATATTTCGCCCTTATTCAATGTTTTCAGGGCCCCCCATGACCTCCAGTTCTTTTCACCCTTATTACAGTATTAACGCATTCAGGTCTCATCTCATAATTCGAAAAGACCTTTACTCTACTCTTATACGCAACTTTCCTTTCCTATTTTCACTCTCTTTGTATGAGTTTTTTTTTTTCTGTAGGAGCCACTCTCCCTCCCGGCACCTAGACAATCCCGTTGCTTGTTTGACAAAGTTAATTTAGATCAGTGACTTGTCTACTTTCGTGCGAGCTTCATTCACGCTTGAATTGTACGGCATGATTTGAATCGCGGCCTAAGTTAGATGGCGTTTCCCATGTATATCTGTTCTTTTTTTTTTTGTTTTTTTTGTTTTTGTTATCCGTTTTCTTTTATTTACGCGTCAGACACCCGATACAAGTAACGCCGATGAAAACGGTCTCGACGAAGCTTGCGGCGGAGTAGATATATCTGACGGAGACGTGGACGCTTCCCTCGTTAATGGAGTACCTTTTGAAGAAAGTTTGTTCGAGGAGGACGATATTGACGACTTAGAACTTGAAGACCTCGAAATTGTCGATTGACGACTACATAAAACTGTTCAAACTTCGAAATCGCTGGGAACCATCACTGTGGATCCGGAAAATGTATAGAATCTCCATGAAGGCATTATCTGGCAGCTTTCATATCATGGTCAACAGTCCCTGGCAGAAATGAATTGTTTCAATGAAACCTAGCATTTGGGGAACGGAATCTGTATCAGAATTAGCGACATGGTTTTTGAAACCAGTGCTTTTCCCTTTGGAACAAATAGGTCTGGGAACTAACAGGGCATAACTTGTGTCCAGACTTCAAGTTTCAAAGATAAAGGTTTTGGAAGACCGCTACCTTGAAAACGGGCCAGTAGAATGGCTGTAGCCAGTTACACTGAATCAGTTGATGTATATTTCATCACCCAAACCAGTCTCAAAAATGCCTTTATAGATATTCTCAAATTTAATGAATCACGTGCTAAATAAATAACTAACATACTTTTACACCAACGGCTCAAGCCTGGAACGCGTTTGAAACGCGTGCAGTTGCGAGGTGATTATGACGAATACTGTTATTTTTGTAGCCGAGAAGAGAAAAATGCAGTCGATGATGATAATTTCATGAACTGCGTTCCTCCAGTGAAACCGAAAAGAATATTAAAGGCCTCTCCCCCTTATGAAATTCTTGCATTAAACTTTCTCCAAGCAGAATTAAAGTGTTTTTTTTTTCTCTTTTTAAATAATCTGGAACAATCACTTCTTTCATTTCTCGTTTTTGTTCATTGTAATTCATCAGGATGTGGTATAATCAAGAGAAGTTTTGTTAAAAATACACTGTTTTCCTTTAAACATCGGATGCTTTCCTGTAATCAGGGGCGGCTTGTGTTAAATTTTTAATAATTTCAGCTTTTTTTCGATAAATGTTTCCCCCACCCTATTTCTTTGTTACACCAGACTGGTAAATGCATGGGGAAGAGAACTGCTGCACTGAAATATTTACGAAAGATCTCGTGGACTGAATTTGACAATAATTACCTCCTTTTTCTTTAATCTATTTTGGGAGTGGAGGACAACTGACTAAAATTGTGATAAGCAAAGAAAGGTTTTCTTTTTTCCCTACCCCGGAGATTTTCCATTCACCGCTAATAGAAGTCAACTACTGCTCACCGCAATGGAGGGTTTATTTTAAATTTTTATGAATTTAAACTTTCTACTCTACAACTATTTTTCCAAAGAATTGTTTTTCGGAGTCGTTTCAGCCGACGGTAGAGAACGCGGGATAATCTTTTCTGATGTTATAAATGTTTTCTATGCCAATGAGTGTTTGGAATATTCAGTGAAAGTGGAGAATTTGTGCCACCGGCATCTCCACGGTGTTCTCAGGGATGGCAAGAGAAGAACCTTGGAACGTGGATTACACTATCATCTACAGCCTTCAGTCCCAACTGGAAAACATAAAGAAGGTCCTATCTTTGAAGGGAACTCTATTTCTATTCTTGAGAGCGTCCCTGAATTGAACTTTAACTGTATCACTATCATAGACAATGCTAGCAGGTTGTCACCAAGACAATTGGAACCAGCAAGTTTAGGCTGTCCTTTGTGTCTTCTGTGTTTTTATTAACATCGCCTGTATCAGACTTGAGAGGCATCAGCGCTTCTGTTTCATCGCTATCTCTGCTCCTACGCGCCGCTCCATTCAAACAGGCAATCTGCCCATCCACAACAACTTCTTTGGCGGACTGTCTTCGCGCGGAAACCTTATCAAGTTCAGAATTGGAGCTTAGCGACTGGGAGGAAGTCATTTTGATTTCATTGTTCTTCATATTGATACTTGACCTGGAGTCTTCTATCTCTTTATCTCTGTCCAGGTCAAAGCTTTTTCTATGAATCAATGGGATGGTTAAAAAATTACACGTTGAACAAGATTGGCTCTCTCTCGATGAATTGGAGCAGAAATTGCTATTGTTACTCCTCGTACTCCCGTTGCGGCTTCTATAAGAGCTATGGCGGTTCTCGCTACGAAAACTGCTTTTTGGTGATACTCTAGGCGAATGGTGCGGTGACCGAGAAGAACTGAGACTAATCTTACTTCCGCTAACCCCTCGGGACGAGTTCGGTAAAGTCTCGAGTTGATCCTGTAACTTGTTACGCAATTTTTCTACAGCTGACTTACAAATACCCAGACGGTTTATTATTTCTAGTGCGTCCAACTGAAAGTGTTTCGTACCTATGGCGTACAGATAAGGATTTGTGAAGGAGTTAATTGGGTAAACAAAGATCAAGAAAAACTGCGCAGTTTTCAAATCTATTAGAGTTGTTCCGTAAACAGCTACAAGACTGACAAACGCAATCGGAAACCAGCATGCGAAGTTTGTAATCACAAGCATCGCCATTCGTCGTGCCACACGACTCTCCACTCGGTTCACGCATGCGCCAGGCACAGATCCTCCGAGACTGCAGTACATCCTACCGTAACAAAATAACACAAAGAAAAACGCCATTCCATTCGATGCCAGGACAAACGTTACGTAAGCTTTTGACAGAGTGTTTTTCACATCGAATGGAAGACATATTGCCACCTCTTGGTAACTACTCACCCCCACCAGGGGCAGGGTGGCCATTGTCAAAGAAAACGTCCACCCCACCCCTATGAGTACAATAATCTGCTTCGTATTCAAATGTTTGTTAAGCTTCAGAGGATGGACAATGGTGAAGTATCTCTCTACAGTGATGATCGTCAACACAAAGACGGAAAGCTCCGTGGAGAAAATCGATATAAATCCGACAATTTTGCATCCAGTTACGAACTGCCATCGCATGGCGAAGTTTTGGTATTCGCCCAACGAATACATATCGGCGCTCACGATCATTAACAAAAAAATACCCATGCAAAGGTTTGCAAAAGCCAGGTTACACATCAGTATCTTGGTGATGGAGATTTTGCGTTTACTCAGCAACAGGACAAATAGTTTGAACGAGTTCCCGAACAGCGCTAAGACCAACACAACCCAGGAACAAACGCGTAACGCTGTCGAGGCCAGCAAATTGCCGCACGGGTTGAATTTGTCATTTTTTTGCACTGAAGAGCAATTAAACGCTACATCGGTCTGTTCTGTGGGGGGAGTGTTATGAGGTTTGTTTGCATCGTAGCATGGTTCAGTTGGGATTTCCGTGTTGTTGCGTTTTGGTCCGACTATTTCGAAGGGATTTGTAGTTGTTGGGCGTGCTGTGGTCGTTGTTCTAGTAGCTGTCACATTACACGGTTTGGGAGTGCCGGAAGTTGACGTAAAACTTTTTCGAGTAGCGATCAGGCTACTCGAGTCATATTTAGTCTTAATGAGACAGCAGTGAAAGGCGTATTCTACACTTGCCAATGTTAGCCCTTCAAAACTGACGATCGGTATTTCCCATAGCTTCAATGCTCCTTTGATTATGAGATGCTTTAAGTATTCAAGGCCATCACCTGGCAGAAATTCGATATTAGTGTCTTGCAAATTTCTGCAAAAGATCCAAGATCAGATGTTAACTTTTCCAGTGTGGGCTTTAGTTTATTGTTGCTGCAACGGCGTCGAGAGAAACAACTTACACCGTGGTATACGAAAATTTCGTCATGCGAACTTTCTCACAACTACACTTCCAGACATAAATACTTTGGACACTTCTCTAGAAAAACGTTGCCTCTTCCCCTATCCAATAGGGACTTTAAGCAAACCACGACGGCTACGGCAACGAGAACATGGAAAAACAGTAGATCTTATTGGGAGAACAATAGCCCAGAACGTGCGTTATAAAACTTTTTACATTTCTTAGCCGTCCTTTCAAAACAACAATATGAAATCACCAAAATTTGCGTCGTCTGCGAAGCGAAACCGCGGCGGCAAATTATTTTAATTTACATTTGGAACTCGACGCTACTTTTATGCGTTATGTTGAGTTCGAGGTCTGGCGCCCTCGAGACGGTAAACACATGCAGCCATTTTCGAAATTCTAACAAAAAGTAGAAGCTCATTTTTTAATCGACGTCTTCCATGGCGTTGCCGTCCTGACTGCTTAAAGTCCCTAATGTTGCTGGGGAGGCTGTTGGTGTCCCAACAAATGTGTCTGTTAGTCTACATTATTTCCAACAAAACAACTTCGACCAATTTTAGGAAAGGAATACATACTAATTTCTCATATCATTTAGTTTTCTTGGTTGATTTGTTATGTTGTCCTTTGTATGTGCCTGTTCCAAACGGATTGTTTCGTTGTCCCAAGAGGTCCACCCGAGGGAACTTACACAACGCAAATCACATTTAGTTTCTTTCCCAGATATAATTAAATTTTATGTATCACATCTAAACTTACAACTTTGTAATCCGAGGTCCTTTGAAAGCTTCCCGACGTATTTCTTTCAGATTTCCTGCCCTAAACGATCTGTTAACATAAACAGAATAAGGATCCGTCCTTTTCCACTCACTCTCAGCAAATCTCAACCATAATACATATGAGGAAACTAATTCTGCCGAAGACAGAATTATCAATGTACTCTTAAATTAGAATCATCGAAGGAGTTCACTGAATATGCCTTGTTGGATTCCATAGCATTCCTCTTTTTTTCCAACCTTTCTTCAGTGAAATAATGGGGTTTTTTTTAATTGTACGGGCAAGATAAATTAACTTTCTTTGAATACTTTCCTCCTGTTCCTCAGGAATTCTAAAACCCATGAGTGGCGTTATTTTTATTTACGGGTTTTTAAAATTTGTTTGAAAAAAAGATAAAAATGAAGATTTATTCAGTTATATATATCATGGCTGTGAAACTGTTAGATTCTACCACAGGTTTAATTTCCAGGGCCATGACTAAACTCTTAAAGGAGCTGTTTTTTTCATTTTTATTTTTTTTTTGCATGAAACGTTGTAAACGAGTCTTACAACGATTCTTTTTTAACCGCTGATAGAACGCTTTTTGACGGGTAACGAAAAACCAAATCAAAGTTATCACGACGGCCAATCAAAAGAAAGGAGCCAATGAGCATCTGATTGGTTGGGAGAGTGGTGTGAGAGTGGTGTGAGATTTCTGAACCAATCAGAGCGAAATAAAGCGAAACTAAAGCAATCGAAACTCAATTGAAATTGCTTCAGTAAAACTGTTCAGTACTTACAAGGTATGAAGTCGGGTGTTATTGACAAACACTCTGTTCTCGAGGGTAGTAATCTCTGTATGACGCAAATGTCTGAAAGGAAAGTAAGTCAGCGGTAAGAATCCTCTTTTTAACCAGGCGGGGGGAGAAGGGGGGAGGTTTCCGAGGAATTCTGAAATTATCAACTTGGCTTCTAGTATGAATTTTCCTCTATTATACCAAGATCTTCCGCATTCACATCAAAATGGTGTTGTTTTATCACAGCAGGTATTGCTAACTAGGAGGTCTTTTTAAAAAAAATTTCACAATATGGTCAACTTACAGTTCTTCAAGGTCATGATGTTTTCCCAGCGCTTTGGCATCAAGCTTCGTTATTGGGTTTGAAGACAAATCTCTGCAAGAGAGTATTAGTGACTTAGAACTTGGTAAGAGAAAAAAGAGAATGATTAACCAAAAACGCACAAAGATGGTTTAAGATGCAACGGTGATATCGATCAGCACAAGGCGCATCATGACCTAATTCAAAACGGTCACCTTAAAATAGTTTGCCTAGCTACTAAAATATGTGACGTCGTTTTTTCCTCCAATAGACCCAATTGGGTGTGATATTCCACTGTAGCTAGGAAGTGACTATTGTTAACTTGTATGCACAAAGTTACCTTTAGATTATGATCAAATTACTAACGTACGGTCACGTACTGTAGGATTCACTCATGAAAAAAAAAAACAAAATAACACGTACAGGTAGGCAATTTGTGAGGGCTTCCTAAACACAGGCATCTCCTCAAGTTTGTTATCTTTTAGGTGCCTGTGAAATTAAATAAAGAGTTTGAGTAATGCATAAAGGCCCTTAGGGCTACCACGATCTAGAAGGGCCACATAGGCGTGCAAAGCTCCTCATATGATGGGTAGCTATCTTAGAAATGCGTGTCGTTAAACTAATACCAATGAGTCTAAACCAGTAACGAGACGAATCAACTCGAATTAACAAAAGTACATTATTAAGGGGTCAAGTTGTCCTATAGAAAGTTTTTTTACGAGCCAAGTGGTCCATTCAGGCCGGCTCTTAACTCCGGTTTTCGTAGCAGGAAGCGACTAGGAGCATTTTTACTCCCCCCTGGATGGGATGCTAGTCAATTGCAGGGTTACCCCCCCCTAGCAGGGTAAAGAGAGGCCCTGTGAGAGTAAAGTGTCTTGCTCAAGAACACAACACAACACAATGTCCCCGACCAGGGCTCGAACCAGGACCACTCGATTCAGAGTCGATCGCACTAACAATGAGGCAAACGCGCATCCTTTAGTTTCCCTGTAGCGTGCATTTGTTTTTCACTAATAACATAAATCACAATTCAAGACTTGCTTCTACGAAACTTGCGAAAACCGCTGTAACGATAGCAACAGTGCAGCTTAGCTGGGAAGAAAACTTCAACAAAAGTTATACTCACAAAACATTTATATTAAGCTCATCCAAGGCACCAGGAGCAATGTCTTTCACGCCATTGTTCTCCAAAGATCTATTTGAAACAACAAACATAGCTTTCATGGTCGAGGAATAAAACGTCATGGTCGTTTTCAATAAATTTGTACTCACAACTCCGTCAGTTTCTTGAGTCCGGTAAAGGAGTTCTTTTCAATTTTCGTGATGTGATTATAGTTCAAGTGTCTGCGGTTATTAATAGATCACTATTAATTACTATTACAATTGATTACCAATATTAAGACAGCTGAACGTTAATGATTGAGTTTGTTTCAATATTTTGGACCTCCTAAGGTACCAGGGGAAAATCATTTAAAGCCCCATCGTTGTTCATAAATCTATTTTAAACAAGAGAACAAACACTTCTTAGTCATAAAAACTTTATGAATAGTTTTCATAAATTTGTACTCACAATCTCTTCAGCATCTTGATTCCGGATAACGAGGTCTTTTCAATCCTCTGGATTAAATTATTGCTTAAATATCTGCAATTGTTAATGGTCAGTTTTTCTAGTTGTACAAAACTTTTTTAAAAAATTCAGCCAGCTGAACGTGAATGATTAGCTTTACTTTGATATTTTGGAGCTCCCAAGATCTGACTGCTTGTGCAAGTTCTGCTCAAACTGGTCAAAAATAAAAAAGCTTTTTTTTATCGAGTTTTGAAACTAATCCGAGAAAGCATTTGTTTTTCTCTATTTCATTATGTGATTGGTCGAAAACTTAAACAATCCCCTCCCACACCTACCCTCCCCTCCCTTCACCTCCCCTCCTCTCACCTCCCCTCCCGCCACCAATTAGAAGCAAAACTGAAAGGCAATCGGGCACGGTCACGCTGGTTTTCCCGCGCTTTCAGCTTTCCCGCGCTTCAGTTTACCAACACACCTTTTACCGATGGTTACTTGGTTCTTTTAAGCTATTACAATCTCTTTGGTTTTTTTTCTACGTCATCTGATCGAAAAGTGCTAACAAAAAAGATGAATAAAAGAGACTTACAAATGTTTCAGTGAATGAAGTCCTTTGAAAGCTCCTGGAAAAATGCTGCTTATTTTGTTGTGTTCAAGATTCCTGAATTACAAAATAATTTCAAGTTTATATAATAATCCATATTGGTATATACAACACATGTGAATAGTTCCTCTCGTGCTGACTAATTGCTAGTTCGGAAGTGATCAGACTGTTCACCGCCGAAAAGCCGGAAAGACAAACTAGCTCGTCAAGAGTTAATTGCTGGATATTTTTCGGTATCCTGTCAGAAAGAAACTAATTCTTTGGTTTTCGTGTGGTATAAACTGAAACAAATATTCACCTCAGTTTCAGTGGAAATTGTGGATATAAGGTGTTTCAGTCATAAAACAAAAGAAAAAGTTATCATTTGAGAAAAAAATAAAAAACAACTTACAAATCTTCTAAAGCGTCAAGAGTGGAAAATGTTTCTTGGGGAATAGTTGAGATGAGATTTCTGTCGAGAACTCTGCGGTAAGAAATTGTAGAGTTTTCGAGTTGTATTTTTACTTTTTATCATATGAACCCTTTCAACTTGGGAAGATCTGGCCCCCCAAGAGCCGATTCGCACGTGAAGAAATCTCATTAACTAGAAAAGTAAATTATTGTGGAATCTGTGATGATAAATCAAATTTTAGAAAAAGACTACACATTCCTCAAATATCGAATGGATACCTCATACATGTCTCCTAAATTTTCTGTCCTGACCTCACTAAATCTATCCAAAGATCATTTTCATAGTACTGATATGAAACTAGTTTAAATTTAAATGTTTGTTTGTTAAAGATTTTATTGTTCAAAACTCTAGAGGAAAATGAAAAACTGCTGAAATTATATTCTCTTGTAGGGTTTACCCTTAAACTCCCAAAAGTGATTAACATGTAACTTCTCCCTACAAGATCCATACATTATCCAGCAAACAGGTAATGAGAATACTCAAACTTATCAGCTAGAAGTTGTTATTCTGATCTAACACTAAATTTTCTTAATCAATTTACAAGGAAATAAATAAATAATTAAATTATTAACTTATATTGCGCTAACATTAAAATACATTTTCATCAGCGCAGAAACTACCCATCCAACCCCAGGAGAGGACATCCACCACACAGTAATGTCGTGCGTGGGAAATTAACGTCTCCTACCCCTAACCCTGCAGGAGACGGGGCCTACAGTTCTATTCGTCCTTATCCGAGAAGACTAGAATATCTATCCATTTCTTGATATTATAGAAAGGTAGCAAATTCTCCTCAGTTATGTAAGACCACGAGTATTGGTCCGGCCGGGTCTCGAACCCTCGACCTCCCGCACAACACAATCCGGCGCTCTAACCAATTGAGCTAACCGGGCATAGCAGCTAGAGGAGAGAATTGATAATCAGATCTTGGGAGATAAAGGGTTAGCTGCACTGAAAAAAAAACCTTGTGACAATAATTAACAACATCACGCCATCAATACAGAAAATAGTAATCATAAGCACTTACAATTCCTTGAGATTCT